GAAGATGGGGGGGGGGGAAACCTAGGAGAGACATGATAGTGTTGAAATATCTAAAGAGCTGCCACAAAGAAGATGGGGGGGGGGGAAACCTAGGAGAGACATGATAGTGTTGAAATATCTAAAGAGCTGCCACAAAGAAGAGGGGGGGGGGGGAAACCTAGGAGAGACATGATAGTGTTGCAATATCTAAAGAGCTGCCACAAAGAAGAGGGGGGGGGGGGAAAGCTATTCTCCAAAGTACCTGAAGGAAGAACAAGAAGCAATGGATGAAAATGAATCAAAGAGAGAACCAAACTAGAACCAAGGAAAAATTTCCTAACAAAACAAATAACCAATGGAATGGATTGCATCCAGAAGTTGTGGGTCCTCCAACACTGGAGATTTGCCTGAAATGGTATAGGGCATGGGTGTCAAAGTTGATGGTGTCATGTGACGACACATGATGAATTGTGACAATTTTTATTATTGCAGAGGTGGGGTCGGCATGGCCTACATGTGATGCATCTGGCCCACAAGACACCAGTTTGACACCCTTCATAGGGTCTCCTGCTTGAGCAGGCAGTTGGACCAGAAGACCTCCAAGATCCCTCCACTTCTGTTATTCTGTTATGCCAGGGAGGCAAGCAGCTAAAGGCTGCATTGTGGAAAAGTTTATTCCATCATACTTTCAGTTAGAGACCATTTTATTCAGCATGAAAATAACCAAAGGAACATTATTATAGTGGTATAAACCTAAACTTTATAAAAATGTACTGCTTAAAACTCTCCCAATTATTTCCCTTTTATAGCCTTTATCAAAGTATATATTCCCCCTATTCATGAGTATTAATATCTTACATTAGCTGTAATTAAATTCTTCTGATGAGATAGGAAAAGCACTGGCAGTGCGTGTGGGATGTTGTTCCTCTGCCATTAACAAATCTCTTCCTTAAAAATAGTGTATCTTTTTTTAAAGCCTGGGTACCAAACAACAGAGCCAGAGCTACTCAATGATGAGCAGGTGGCTGTTGAGCAGGTGGCTGCTAGTGAATAGTCCTGGGAAAGAAGCAGGGCTTCTTTTAATTGATAGAAATGGAAAAGTTTGGAAACTACTGTTTTTCCCTAATGCCTGTATATGGACTTGTACATAGTAAAAGAAACAACAAGTCCACATCATTTCTATTTCTGTGAAGCAATTGTTCTTCTTTAAAGACACACACACACTGAGCTATGAAAGAGTCCAGGGCCCTTCTGTGAAAGCGTCTAAAACTTCTCTAGTTCAAAGCTCTTCTGGGTTTTTTAAAACTTTCTCCTTAAATTTTTTGATTTTGCTGAACATTTAAAAATTGACTTCAAGAACCAACAATATTGAAGATTCCTGCAGAGGAACATATTTCTTCTGTTGCTCTGATTATTAATATGGATTATTTTGCTCTGGGCAGTTCAACAATGTTTAGTGTGATCAATACTTTAATTACCATACATGTTGTTGAGTACGTTCAGTCCAGAGATAGGATAGGGCTGAAGAATTTGTTCAGTATCTGCAGGATAAAATCGGTCAGATCTGGACAGGCTTGGACTCTGACTGGGTAGATTCAGGCGAGTCGACGGGGATGAGTTTTACCCTGTGACCCCCGAGGGCATGGACAGGATTATGGGAAGACTCAGTGCTGCCACTTGTGTGCTGGACCTGTGTCCCTCTTGGTTAGTCTCGGCTTCCCGGGAGGTGACACGAGGCTGGCTCCAGGAGATTACCAACGCTTCGTTGAGAGAGGGGGTCTTTCCCACCACCTTGAAGGAGGCAGTGGTGAGGCCCCTCCTTAAGAAGCCTTCCCTGGACCCAGCTTCTTTAGCCAACTATCGTCCGGTCTCCAACCTTCGCTTTGTAGCAAAGCTTGTTGAGAGTGCGGTAGCACGTCAGCTTCCCCAGTCCCTGGATGAAGCTGCCTATCTGGATCCGTTTCAGTCGGGTTTCAGACCCGGATACAGCACGGAGACGGCATTGGTCGCGTTGGTCGATGATCTCTGGCGGGCCCAGGACAGGGGCTGCTCCTCTGTCCTGGTCCTATTAGACTTCTTGGCGGCTTTCAATACCATCGACCATGGTATCCTACTGCGATGACTCGGGGGGTTGGGAGTGGGGGGGGGCACCGTTTTGCGGTGGTTATCCACTTACCTGTTGGATCGGTCA